GGCTCCATGCTATGGAATCCTGGGATTTGTAGTATATTTGGGCCCTGGACTTCTTTGACAGAGAAGGATAAATGTCTTGCAAAATTACAGTGCCAAGAATTTCTTAGCACGGAGCCATGGCAGTTAAAGCAGTATCAAACTGGATTATGGGCAGTGCAGATGTAGCCAAACAGACAGTCCTCTTGAAATGAGTGAAATCCCTTCCCAGGAATGCTTGGGGAAGTCCAGCACTATGAATTCCAATACTACATATTCTTATGTGCATCTCTTCACTAATGTGGAGATTAAAATAAACTATAAATAAAAAAGGAAAAGAAGATTGCAAATCTTGAGCCTATACAATTAGCAGCCTTTATATGAAATACCTGCTTCACACATTCTGGCTTGAGCGTAAAATATATTATGGGCTGCCCACTCTCTTATTAAACTGCTAAAATGCTTAGACTCTTTGCTGAAATTAGTTCTTATAAAACCTTTGCCATCAGGTTTTAGCTATGCTATCCCCTATATTATGGAATTCTTCTCTATCATGTTCATTTGAATGCCACCTTCCATTCCTTTGTGAAATAGATTATAGTTTAGCTGCATGAGAAAGCTTTTTCTCAGTGTGTGTTTTACCACTATGTGGCCATTTAAAAAAATAAGTCTTGTTGCTTCATTTTACGATGCTGCTGTTTTTATGCTACACTTGATTTAGTGAACATTTTTATTCTTTTTATTTTTCAGATGGATATCAGGGTGAATATGTTTTAATTGATAAATACATCTGAATAGTAGGAAAGATGAATGTGACAATTTAAGAAGTATAATAATAATAATAATAATAATAATAATAATAATAATTTTTATTTTTATCCCGCCCCTCTGCAGTGCAATCGGCGTACAACAAGTTAAAAACATTGCAACAAATTAAAAAAAAGATCCAATAACCCATTCCCTAACTCACCCACCCCTTAAAAATATATTAAACAGACATATATCACTAAACACATCTTTTTTGAAGTTTTTTTTTTTTAAAAAAAAAATACTTGCCCAGCTCCCACTTTTCCTTCTTGTCATATGTATAGCTGGAAGTTTTCTTAGCAGAATCAGTATTAGTAAAATGGCCAGGGGCATGGAGAAACATGCTTTGGGTGCTAGGTTGCAGTAACATGTCTGCAGTAAACTATTATTTTATTATTATTATTATTATTATTATTAGTAGTAGTAGTAGTAGTAGTATTAAAAATTATTTATAAAGTGCTTTAAGTTTGCAATAAAGCTTGAACTAGGAAAGAATGAGAGCTTACTGTTGCAGATCCTAATGAAGCTGTGCGTGCCTGCCTACGACAGTAAAAGTAAACAGCAGTTGCATCTGGAACCCTTTACTAAGCATGTGTAAACAGCAAAAGAGAAAGAAAAGAGGAAAGCAGACAAGCCTGCCTCACCTTCCAGCTATTTCCAGAATATTAAAAAACCTTATATTTATAAGATTGGCCACCAACATGGAAATCATGAGCAAAGGAGATGCTGGTTAAAGAAAAAGTCCTTCCTGGATGCATTCCCATATTCTATAGAAATGTCAATATTTAACTTACCTAACCTGGTTGTTTCATTTCACATGTGCATATTATTAGTTTTGAATAATCCGTTTGCTGAAAATTGTTGAACTGCTCTTCTTGTTTGTGGCATAGGTATGTATCTTTATTTTTTTCCATATTATTTAGGTCTCTGGTCTCACTTACATACATACATCTCTCTAGCTCCCCCTTTCCTCCTTGTCTGCTATATTTAGAAATGGTTAACAAACAAGATTGAGAAATATAACATAAGTATTTTTTTTTGCCAACTTTGTATGTTCTCTCTCTCTCTCTCTCTCTCTCTCTCTCTCTCTCTCTCTCTCTCTCTCTATATATATATATATATATATATACACATGCACAGTGACTAACTGCATCCTTCTGAGATATAGGACTAATTTGAGAGAAATGCTGTTGATTTGCTTTTTAGTCACCCACATTCACAGACACACATTATGCTTTTCCTCCAAGAAACTCAAGAGTTGCATACATTATTCATTTCATTGTTTCATTGTACAAACTTGAGAGTTGAATTACAACTGGAGGCCAGGGTTCAAATCCCTCCTCAGCCAGGAAAACCCATTGGGTGACCTTGGGCACATCACACCCTCTCATCCTCAGAGGGAAGGCAAAGGAAAACTCCCTCAACAAATGTTGCAATGTAAACCCTGCAATAGATTTGCTTAGGGTTGCCATAAATTGGAAACTGCTGGAAGGCATGCCACAACAGCAGATAACAACAACAAAGGAATATGTGTCTAATGTTAGGTTACGAAGTTACAATTGGTTCAAGAAGATTAATGAGCCATAAAATATTGATATAGTAGACTTACATCAGCACTTCAGATCTTAAATATACTGTACATACTCATGCATAAGTCTAGAAATTTTAGTCAAAAAATTGACCCCCCACAAAACTAAGGGCCT